TAGGAAATATACACACGCAATCCCAAAGGAAAAATAAAATGAGGGTTCTTTCGTATACAATTGGGGGGGGGGGGTAGGAATGGATTACATAAAGAAATCCCTGCAAAAAAGAATTTTACACGACAATAGTATCCCTAATACTATGATCTAAAGGGCTCTCATGGAATCAATTCCTTACGATTCAAATCCTCCATATTCCTACAAAAAATCTATAATCCAAAGAGGCCCTAAAAGTTGATAGAAACGCCTCAACTCGGTAATTTTGCCAATACCATCAAAATGGCTCTTCGACCATGGACAACTAGCATGTCCAAATAATTGTTTATTCAGCCTTCATTTGTTATGTTGGGACGTAGTCATAGGAATCAAAATGGACAGCTAGCTAATGTTGGAGGATGATATTCAGTGAAAACACAATGTGTTGCCACTGTGAGTGACATATACAGGTTGCCTACATTTGTTTTGTGCATTGCATGGCCTGGCCAAACTACATCGGCTGGTATTTTTATTTTTTTATAGTTTTATTTTCTTTTAAAATTTTAAGTATTTTTTATTTTACATTATGCTTTTCAGTTATTTTATATCTTCTTTTCTTTTTTTATTTGCCAGATTTCTGTTTTGCAAATTTATGAATCAAATTTTCTAAGATGTATAAACATTTTAATTTTAGTTTAATTATCCTATTTCCTAGTTTACTTATTTTTTATTTTTATTTGTGATTTTATTGGGTAATACTGTAATTTATATTTGTATGTTATTAGACATTTTTTGAAACCATTGAACTTTCTCAAACACATAGACATCTATTAAAGATTCATAAACCTTTCATTTTCATATAGAAGATTCTTAAGAACTTCGCAAGTATTTTTGGAATACATGAATATTTATTTCTTTGTACATGAATATTTTCGAAAATATGTAAAAAGTTTTGATATACACAAAAAAAATTGATACATGTGAAAAAAATCTATATATTTGAACATTTTCTTTTGATCTACGTGAACAATTTTTCTCGCAACACATAAACACTTCTACTCATTTAAGAATATTTGCCTTATTGTCGGACTGATTGTATAAAATCATTAAACATTATACATTTTCTAGTTTTCTCAACAACATATCTTACCTATTATTCTTTCGAAAAAATCTGGTGACGTTGGCCTCTTGGTTGAATGCACAACTTCGCGAGTGGAAGGCATATATTCACATGTATCAGTGTTCGCGCGCTGGCCAACGGGATGGAGGACTTGCCTACAGATAGCATTTGGGCAGTACATAGGGGACCCCGGTTTTCAGAGCAATATTTATTCATAACAGTTAAAACTACCTTTGCTTTTGACATACATAACATAACATATGTGAATAATTTTGTCCTAGTGTAAATTTGTCTATTGAAACTAAATGGCTTGAAATCCTGGTGTATAGAGATCAGGAAGCACACAGCTAAGACGATCTCTTTTTGTATGTGCCTTGTGTGTACATTCCTTTGCTATGGAATTATATTTGAGTCCCTGGTTCCCATTATGTATATTCAGCATTAACATGGAAAATTACATTTTTTTTGTGAAATGAAATGTGAACAATTGAATTTTACTTCAGGTTGATTGTGACATAGCATATGTGTTGTTGAAAGTTACTTCAAGTTGACTGTGACATAGCATATGTATTTTCTTATTATGCTTCTTAAAGCATAATTTTATAATTTCTTCTCGCCTTTTGGTGCGAGCAATTGTGGATTCTAGCATCTATCTGTCTTTTTTTAATAAAGGGAATATATCATTATCAGTAAGATACCAATTACACTCGACCTCTACAGTAATACGATATCAAGAGCTAGTCAAGATATTGAGAATGCACGATAGCCATACCAAAGAAAGAGAAATTGCCTCAAAGAATAAACATAGAAATAAAAGCATGACGTGGCCGAAGTGAACACCAACATGCACTGACAGAAAGAACATCAAGCACCGACCTTGGAAACATATGAACTGCGATAGATATTCTAAGATTAATTATGTAGTTTAGTGGCCAGTGAGAAGTGCGCTGCAAATTTCCCATCGTGGTAATCTACTGTTTCTTGACCAAATACGAGAGTTGTTTGTACTTTCTACTACATGCTATTTCTTTGTCATGAGAATTGAAGTAGTGGGTTTGTGTTGCTAAATCTAATACTTTTCGCTCACTATAAGTTAACTCATTAGCTGTCTAATATTTCATGTACAATCTAAGAGAACTCATGCTTATTTATGCTTAGTCTCACTTACCAGAGGCATCAGCCGAAAATACTGTGTAAACACATCAACTAATCTGTTTGTTAAGATTAAAATTTATAAGAGTAAGTTTGTTTAGAGTTGCTTTTACTCATCAGCTGAACTCTTAATAAGAACCATGTGTCGAGAAAGAGAGTTACAGAAGCACATTTTCATTTGGTACCGGAGATATAGAGATATAGATGCTCTGTTGAAATGAGCGGAAAGAAGAATAACTTTACTGAGTGCTGCAGAAAAATGCTCCCACCAGTTGTCGAATTATCGCATACTCTTTCCCAAAAGAGAGAACACTACCGGAGAAGACGAATCTTGGCAGCTAGCTATAGTCGCAAGAGAAGGGTGCAATAATAGAGGGGATAATTAATCGAATCTTGCTTTTGCACCAATCCTCACCGTCCGTCTTCTCCTGTCACTGTCACTCGCCACGCTATAAATACACCCGTCCTCAAAATATTTGTTACAAGCAAGCAAGCAAGCAAGCAAGAAGCCACACGTGCTCGCATCCATCACACGAGCTTGCTTAGCATCGCCACTTGCTCTTAAAAAGAGAATGGCGGGGTACTACAACGGCGGTGGCAGGACCATGTCCTACTCCAACACCGACGAGTGCTTCGACGGCGGCAGGACCATGTACTCCAACACCACCGAGGAGTGCTACGACGCCGGCAAGCACGGGCACGGCCACGGGCATGGCCACGGTGGGGCAAACATGTACGCCAACACCACTGACGTGGAGTGCTTCGACTCCGGCAGGCACGGCCACGGCGGTGGCGGCAGGACCATGTACTCCAACACCGTCGACGAGGAGTGCTTCGACTCAGGCAGGCACGGGCATGGGCACGGCCACGGCCACGGCTATGGGCACAACGACGGTAGGGCCATGTCCTACTCCACCACCACCGAGGAGTGCTTCGGCGGCGGCGAGCAGGGGCAGGGGTACTACAAGAAGGAGGTGCAGCAGCACAAGAACAGGGAGCGCGTCGGCGAGGTCGGCGCCCTCGCCGCCGGTGCCTTCGCCTTGGTAATCAATTAATTAACCTCACTCAAGAAGTCAACATCACATAGTAGTACAATTTTATCCATGTAATTAAGATGCATGATCTTTGAATTTGGTGTGCAGTACGAGGGGTACGAGGTGAAGAAGGACCCGGCGCACGCGAGGAAGCACCAGATCGAGGCCGGCGTGGCGGGCGCGGCGGCGCTCGGCGCCGGCGGCTACGCGTACCACGAGCACCGCGAGCAGAAGCAGGCCGCGTACGGCGGGCAGCAGGAGTACAGGATGCCCGTCCACAACAGCTACTGCAACTGAGTAATCATGCATGCAATGCATCCAACGTCCACCGATCGTCGTATAGACTCCAATAAGATCGATACAGCATCATGCATGCAGGCATGCGTGTGTTGCTTACGCACTCTTATAATATCGGTGTCTCTGCAATAAGCTAGCTACATGCGTTCGTGCTACTGGTCACGTGCTCTGTGGTGTAACTTGCGTCTGGTACAATATGGTCGCCAGTATTTATGCGTGTATGTATTGTGTGGTCTTGAAAAATAATAAGAAATCTTATACTGGTATATTATATCATCAAGATTAATTCAGCCATTAGATATAAAATTTAATGGCCAAGATCTATTAAATATCCCTGGCTTATATGAAGAGATGATGTACATAAAGTTTTTTTCTTTTTGAAAACTCCCCATGTATTAGTTAATTAAACAAAAGGTTATGACAATCAGTCATTACAGCATACGCCACGCAGGGCGGAACAGAGTTATATAACGAGCAACCCGTCGGACCTACTATTAAAACTAAACTTAGCAATCTCATGTGCCACCTCATTGGCACGCCGATTTATTTTCGAAAAACTCAAATTTTGAAACATCTTGACGACACTCAAAACCTCTTTCTTCATATTAACGAGAGGGGCTCTGTCAAGCTTGTCATTCGCAAGGAAAGAATGTACGAAAGCACAGTCAGTCTCGAAAATAATAGATCGGTGAAGGGTAATGCCGATATAAAGACCTGCTAGGCAGGTGCGGAGCTCGGCTTCATTGGCACTAGTACACTGACCAATAAAATCCCACGAGGACATGATAATTTTGCCAGAGGAATTCCTAGCGACAACCCCCAAACTGGTAGCATTAATATTCTCTATAAAACTAGCATCGACATTGATCTTGATATAATCCGCAGGAGGCGATTTTCACAGCTCACGCTCTTTCACCAATGCAAAATCCGCAATAACACCTCCCACCTTTTCCTTACCATTGTTGCGAGAATCCAATTGTATGACGTCATGATTGGCCGTATAAGAGGACCAATAATTTTCAGATTTACTTTTTGCAGATGATAGCTTGATATTCATCAGTGCAACAAATCAAAGTGCTATAAGGCTTAATGAGATCCTCAGAATGTATGGTGATGCTTCTGGGCAGTGTGTCAATCGCGACAAAAGCTCTATCTATTTCAGTTCAAACAAACCGGCACATTTGAGGCAGCAGCTGAAAGCAGTCCTAAACATCCCCTGGAGGCGTTCAGTGAACACTACTTGGGGCTGCCAACTGCTGTTGGTCGGATTAACAGTGGCACATTTGATCACATTGGGGAGAGGGCACGAAGCAAGATGCAGGGATGGTCAGAGAAGCTGTTGGCTTGTGCCGGGCGGGAAATTTTACTAAAGTAAGTGGTTCAAGCTATTCCCACATACTCGATGAGTACCTTTTTGCTCACTAAAAAAGTTTGTAAGAGTCTTACTTCTCCAATGGCTAAATTTTTCTGGAGTAGCTCTCTTGACAAGAATGGAATGCATTGGGTGTCGTGGAAGAATCTACCGACACCGAAATGCAAAGGAGGTGTCGGTTTTCGAGACCCTCACCAGTTTAACCTTGCGCTACTTGGAAAGCACGGGTGGAGGTTTATAACCAATCCGAGTTCTCTCTGTGCAAGGGTTTTAAAGGGCCGCTACTTCCCTGACACGGATTTTATGCATGCAACAATCCCTAAGTCTGCTTCTGCAACTTGGAGGGTGATCATAGCTGGCAGAGAAGCTCTTAAGGCGGGCTTGATTAAAAGAGTGGGAGATGGATCTTCCATTGGTGTGTGGACAGATAAATGGATTCCCGGCACAATCTCCATGTCCCCTATGATGAAACCTCCCACTACCAATGTCCAGTTGGTGTCAGATCTCATTGACTCAGATAATTGGTCCTGGCGGCAGGAGCTAGTCCGGTCAACCTTCATTGCCCCGGACACGGATGCGATCCTTAACATACCAATCAGGCGTAGGGGTGGTGATGATTTTTTTGCTTGGGCCTTTGAGACTTCAGGTAACTATACAGTTAAATAGGCGTACCTTGCTCTAATGACTCAAAACGAGCGACTTGCCCTAGGAGAAGGGGCGGATACCGGAGCTTCAAGAGATGAAAAACAACTATGGAGTGCTCTATGGAAACTCAAAGTTATCCCAAAGGTTCACGTGTTTTCGTGGCATGTACTTCGACGGATCCTGCCTGATGAGTGCATGCTCAAACACCGTCATATTGCAGTCATTGATAGATGCAATGTTTGCTTCGCCATGGAGGAAGATCTCATGCATGCACTTATTCACTGCTTTTTTTTGAAATTAGGAAAATACCTCTTGGTTCCTCGGTGTATGTACATGGAGGAACTGGATTTTTTTTTAATAATTACAAAAATGTCAGAAAGGTTCAGAAGTTCTTTTTGGGATAAACCTGCCTTCCTTTTGCACGAGTATACAATTTATCGCCAACAAAAACCCAGCGTCGACTTCAGGGCAAAAAAAACAAAACTTTTTGTCAAAATAGTGTGAATAGTGTCTTGTATATGGGAATATTTTTTTTTGCTCTGAAATCAATGCTGGGTTTTTATTGATGAAAAATTATATACTAGTGCAAAAGAAAGTCAAGTTTATCCCAAAAAAACTTCTGAATTTTTTGGCTTTTTTTAATTATTAAAGAAAATCCAATTCCTGGGTGTATATACACCCAGGAAACAATCGTCCGCGCATGTGGAAAGAATAACTTTATTGAGTGCTAAAAAAAATGAACTCCCAGTTGTCGAATTATGCTACCGCATACCCTTTCCCAAAAGAGAGAAAACAACTTGATACGATTAATCTTGATAAGTTCTGCATATCAAGGCTATATATGTATATAACGTCTGTCGGCAGCGACAAAATGATGCTGAAAATGTTCACAACTACAGTCCCAAATAATGATTCCAATAATGGAGACGATCATGGAATAATCAGCTTTGCTCTCCAATTAATCTCCACCGTCCGTCGTCTCCTTTCACTGCCTCTCGCCACACTATAAATACACCCCTCCCTCAGCACAATTGTGACAGCCAAGCAAGCAAGCATCAACACGTACCGGTATCCATCACACAAGCTAGCTTAGCTCTCCGTCTGTTCTTGACAGAGAATGGCGGCCTACTACAACGGCGGCAGGCCCATGTCCTACTCCACCACCGAGGAGTCCTTCGACGGCGGCAGGACCGTGTACTCCACCACCACCGAGGAGTGCTACGACGCCGGCAAGCTCGGCCATGGTACCGGCTACGGCCACGCTCAGAGCCATGGCAATGGCGGGACCAACATGTACTCCAACACCACTGATGTCGAGCGCTTCGACTCCAGCATGCATGGGCATGGCGGCGGCGGTGGTGGCAGGACCATGTACACCACCACCACCACCGACGAGTGCTTTGACTCCGTCAGGCCCGGGCATGGGTACGGCCACGGCTACGGGCAGAACGACGGTAGGGCCATGTCGTACACCACCACCACCACCGAGTCCTTCGGCGGAGGCGAGCAGGGGCAGGGGTACTACAAGAAGGAGGTGACGCAGCACAAGAACAGGGAGCGCGTCGGCGAGGCCGCCGCCCTCGCCGCCGGTGGCTTCGCCCTGGTAATTACTTAATTACTCTATCTCAACATTACATACTACTCCAGTACGCTTAACCCATCTAAACTTCACGATGAATGATCCTTTCGTGTGGTATAGTATGAGGGGTATGAGGCGAAGAAGGACCCAGCGCACGCACGGAAGCACCAGATTGAGGCCGGCCTGGCAGGGGCGGCGGCACTCGGCGCCGGCGGCTACGCCTACCACGAGCACCGCGAGCAGAAGCAGCCCGGCTACGGCGGGAAGCAGGAGTACAGGATGCCTGTCCACAACAGCTACTGCAACTAAGTAATCATGCATGAAACCTTAGCAACGTCGATCTATTCTATGGACACCAATAAGATCGATAGAGCATATCATGCTGCAGGCATGCATGTTTTTCTACAGCACTCTTAATTTCGGCGTCCCTACAATAAGCCAGCTGCAAGCTGCGTGCTGCCGCTCACGTGTGCGTCTGGTATAGTACGGTAGCCACTATGTACGTGTGTAATGTGATCTCAAAAAAAAAAGATCATTATTAGTACTAGTCATCCGCTATGAACTAAGTTCTTTCTTACCTTCGTTCCTTGAAATTGTCTTCACAAATGCTACACACTTCGATAAATCCCATCCGCTATGTAGTAGCACATGTTGTATGTGTGGCTGCTTGCTTGAAACGTCACCGGCAGTGCTTCCCCATTGGTTAGCCGTGCAAAAAGTGGTGATTGGTGGAGCACGTATTGCAAGATCCAGGCATCCCAATATAGGCATGCCAAAACTATGTCGCCAGGTCGGCGACGACTTCAAGAATGATGGTGGCATCCTTCACATGGCCTTTGAAATGTCCATGCCATTCGTGGTGCAGTTCTATCACTTCCAATGCATGCAATCAATAAAATTGAATATGCCTGGAAACCCATGTGTTTTGTTCATCTCCAAAAGCAGCTGAGTGTCCCGAGCATTGGGTGCTCTCAAATACACCGGCCCAAACACTTCAACCACTGTCTTTGCAATTGTTCACACACTCAATGGAAGTGCTTTTTCCCATTGCCAAGTGATCGTCAATCAAATCGGCTTCGCGCATTGCTGAAGTCACCTTCTAGATAGTGTTCTGATCAAGATCGTCGGCATAATTCCTTCTCTATACGAAGAATTGATCATGCTCCTTCATGCAATTGGCAATATGGAGGAACACATCCATGTATCCTAAACCGGTGTTGAAAGTACCACTCTGGATTCCTAGGATATGGACAGAATAGACCAACAATAACTTGTTGTGGCCATCTTGCTTCCTCCTACGAATGTACTCATGGATGACAACGGAACTGCCATACTTCGGCCTCTTGTTCTTCTGCATGTGCATGCCAATGATGATGGAAATGCCCTCATCCTCGTCCCACTCATATTCCTCTTCAAAAGGAGTCATCCCATGGGGAGGAAGATGAGTACCAACTCAAATACACAACATGACATGTTCTCTCACAGTCCACTACTATATCGCACCAAAATTCAGAGAAAGAAAATTTTGTTACCTAAGGTTTTTTGTCAAACACCTAAAGGGCACGAAGATGAATTCCGGTAGGCATAGCACGCCGAGGCCGAGGCAGTCGCCAGACCAGATCTTAATGAGTTTGCGGTGCTCCTATAGCTGCCGGAAAGCCCATGATCTTCCATAGCCACTATTGTCACGTGGATCGGCAACCATAAGCTTTGAATGAGCAGCAACGGTCACATGGGGGATGGGACGCTAGCTAATCAACCTCTACTGCCATTCCCGGTGTTGTGGCTGCCATATTGAGCGACGGAAACGACGGGGGCAGTCGAGCAGCAGGGCGTTGGCTGGGCTGGGGGCCGACGACAAACTCATGGCAGCGGCAAGATCAAGCCAGAATCGGCGGCAAGGTCTGCCGTGAAGCTTCACCTATGCACCCTGCTGCAATTCGCCAAAAAAAAAAACCTATGCACCCTGCTGGAGTCCAGGTAATGAGACATGCTTCCTCGACCATATATTTATAGTACTTGCCTAAAAACCTATGCACCCAGCTGGAGTCCAGGTAATGAGACATGCTTCCTCGACCATACATAAACACTATTCTGATCACGGGATCAGAATGATATTCTGATCACAACATGAACTTTCCGAGTAACGCGCCTGACCTTCCCCGAGTACTAGGTTGAACTTCAGCTAACAAGTGTCAAATGGGGCTTGCGATATACAGTTGGAAACCTATAGACACGACTATCATGACCCAAGTTGTATTTTTGGCAAAATGTAAGCGGTTTAAGAGCAGTTTTGAAAACGGTTTTTACTTCACATAAAAACGTGAATCGTATTTTCGATCGCATTTCTAAACCGTTTATCGGAATGAGGCAAATAATATGGCGTTGGAAAGCTGCTGCAAAACCACTCCTTCCACATGTTGATAATTTTCTAAAATTCCTTATGATTAAAGAGTAATTTGGAAAATCATAAAATTTCGCAAACCGAACAGCCGAGTTCGTATTTTCAATGGCATTTCTAAACGGCTAATCCAATTGAGGCAAACGATATGGCATTGGAAAGCCTATGAAAATGTGTTACTTTTTCATGTTGAAAGTTTTTTATAATTTGGAACGGTTTAAAAGTAATTTAGAAAACGATACAAGTACCACCAAGTTCGTATTTGCGAGCTAATTTTTTAACCGTACGTCCGAATAAAGCAAATGATATGGCGTTGGAAAGCTTGAGAAAATGCGAAACTTTTTGGTATATATTGTTTCTCCCAAATTCTTACGGTTTTAAGTCAATTTTGAAAATGGCTAAAAACGTATTTTCGCCATAATTTCTACAAACTTTATCGGACTGGGGCGAATAATATACCATTGAAAATCCATAGGAAATGCAAAACTTTTTCATGTTGATGGTTTTCTCTAATTCCTAACCGTTTTCAAGTAAATTAGAAAATGGCAAGATCATTCGTTCTGCCTTTGTCGCGAAACAGATTCTTCGAAAATGCAGCGCGTGAAGAACTTGAACTTCTTGGCATGTCTACTTGAACTTCACTCTGTTTTTCATGTGCTTTTTTTTCTCGTAGCTCTCCATCCACTCATTGGAATTTAGCAAGTGATATACCGCTGGAAAGCCACTGTAAACACGCAACTTTCCCGTGTTGATTATTTTTTCATACTCGCGACGATTTAAAAAAATCATCTGAAATTCATGAAGTGTAATAGTTGAATTTCCCGTTGTTTTCACGTTGAACTTCTGTGACGTATTTTCATTTGTAATTTTCTCATTCATTCGTCAGTGTTACACAAATGATATTCAATTTGTACAAACCTATCTCACAATAAAATTTTAACTTTCTCCGACCGAGGGCATGAACTTATAGCAATAAAAAATTTGGACATTGCCCTTTTATTCATTTTTCTCATATTAAACACACACCATGTAGTACATGATTTTTTTTCTATTTTATAATTTGATTTTTTTTACTTTCTTTTTGAAATCTAATTGCTCCCAAATAATAACGCGAAAAACAACATCTTTTTTGTGTTTTTCAACAATGAAATACATGGTGAACCTCTCTCATATTATTTTTTGAACTTTCCCGCGTTGAGCACATGAACTTCTAGTAACAAATTTTAAACTTTGCATTTTTATTCTTTTTTCTCATACGGAATGCACACCATGCAATACGTGAAGTTTCGGCAGTTATTAATTTGGACTTCTCTCTGTTTCACTTTAGTAACGAAAAAAATCAGATTATTTATAGACATCGAACCGCTCTAACTTTTTTATTTGAACTTCTTTTATGCATTTTTAGAAATGTGAAGATTGGAGTTTTGTTAGAAACATTGAACTTCGTCGTTTTTCAAATCGAACTTATTGGTTTTATTCTTTAATAACTGGATTAAACTGACTTTTCAGAGAAATATCAAATTGCTCCTTTTTTCCAATTGAACTTCTTAGTTTTATTCTCTAGTAACGAGAAAACTTGAGTTTTTTTCCATACATTTGAATTACTCTGTTTGTTAAAATTGAACTTCTTGGTTTTAATCTTTACTGTTGGGGGAAAATGCCCAAAATGGCATTGTTTTTTGAGCTTCTAAATCCTAGGTTTTATTACTTTGAACTTCTATGTTATTTTAATTTGAACTTCACACTTTTTATTTGTTTTGAGTAAATTTATTGTTTTTTTAAATAAAAATAAATTAAACTACTTTTTATTTTTTGATCTTCATGGTTGATTCTTTAATAATAACGGACATCTAAGTTTTTTTAACGAATGTAAAATCCTAGTTTTTCTAATAAACATCGAACCACTTCATTATTTTATTTTGCACTTCTGGTTTTCTAACAAAACAAGAAAATTACTTTAAAACTTATTTAGTTTTCTTTTTAAAAAAATTGAACTTCTGCATTTTATTATTAATTAACGAGAAAACATCTAAGTTGTTTAAACTTCGAAATTCTCTCTTTCTTTACTTTGGACTTCTTAGAAAAATATGGTTTTACATAAGCAAACAATTTTCTAGGTTTTAAAATTTGAAGTTCTAGGTTTTTTAACCATCTCGGTTATTTCAAATTGAACTTCTAGGGTTTTCAAATTTGAACTTCTGCATTTGTTTAACCTTTTCGATTATTTCAAATTGAACTTCTAAGGTTTTCAAAATCCATTTTTTATATACTTTTTTTGAACTGCTCTGTTATTTTGAGTTGGCCTTCTCTCTTAGTTTTTGGAAACGAGGAAAAACTAAATTTTAACAGCTTTCCTCTGCGTCAAGCAAAAGCGGAGAAGTTAATTGGTTTGAGATAAAAAAATTGAACTTCTAATTTTTTTTTCATGAATTCTTTGGTAGTAATACCTGAACTTCTCGACACGACAATTTTGAAGTTGCAAAACATGCACAAAAAGAGAAGAAGGGAAGATGTAAAATGAGTGTGCAAAAACTGTAGAAATTTGGGTATAATTTGAGCATAAGAATCAACAACAAAAAGACAGTGCATGATTACAAACAATATTCTCAAATGACCTGGCCACACAGTAACTACATGCACCCAATCCTTTTTACATAAAAAATGCACTAACTAGTGGCAAACTTGCATTTCTTCATCTTGTCTCACGTTATCCACAAAGTGCTGATGCGTTATCTTCTCCGTGCTTTTTTTCTTCTTCCCTGTACTCTCGGACAAGCAACATCTTGATCCAGAAACCAACCGCAATGATGGCCATTTTTCTGGAGAAGCTTCCCTGTACTCTTCTTTTTCGCAGCTGGACTGGCTCATCAGGAGAAGCTGACCTGCAATGCTGGCCAATTTTCTGGCG